ATACAGACTCAAATACAATACAGTTCTTTATAATTTCTGCTTATATTATTATACAAGTATATTTTCTTCTTTTTTTCTCCAGCTTCATTTCTGGAGTGCAGATCTGTTATAATATTGATCGATTGCATTGTTTTATATAGGAATAGGAAATTAGCTTTGCTTCTTTTACTCAGTTATATTCAATTCCGCTTTTATCCAAATTGCAATTGGCTTTTATCTGATTTTAATTCGGACAATTTGGGTCCACGACGTCCACTCGCCATTCATTGTGCGCATCACTTACAAAAGATTCAAATGTATCTCCTGGCATCCAATTGAGCGAATTACAAAAGATTTCGGTTCATATGGCGGGCTGATGAGCCTTTTCATACACTATTTTTTTTTTCTCTTTTCTTTCTATATTATTTTTATTTTTTTCACTTTTTTTTTGTATGTGTGTGTGTGTGTGTGTGTGTTTGTGAGTCGCGATTCTCGCACTGATTTTCGAGGTTAAGCGCGGCACTCAGCACAGTTAGCTTATGCAACGAGGCTCCTTTGCCTTGGCACTGATTAGCTCGAGCAGCTAATAGCAATTACGATCTCAGCGATTTCAGTTACTAATACGGCAAATAGTCTAAATAGCACTAATTCGCCAGCTCTACGTGGAGTGCAAGCCAAGGGCTGCTCATTGCTTCGCTGGCCTATCTCACGCTATGGCCCCTCAATTAATTGTTTAATTATGATCGCGATTTGCGGCTTAACACGTACAAATTATTTATTTGCTGGACATTTTCGATGACCGAACCGATTGCAAAAACTTTTTCCGTTCCAAATGTGAAACAAGATTTCAAAACATGCCACTTCGATGGGACAGGCATACATATGCACATATATGTACATATATATGTATATGTATATTTATCTGCGATACACAAGAGGCGCTTCCCGCCTGCCACGCCCCCCTCACAGCACAAGTAATGGACAGAAAACGAAACTGAAACCGATTTTCGGCTCGAAGTCGCGTAGGTTTTTTTTTTTTTTTTTCGGTTTCGTCGCGCTGGAGATTTTGAAAATGAAAAAATGACGCCCGCTATGCGCCCAATCTGGCACTCGACTGCTCGATGACTGGGCCACTGACTGACCAAGATGGAATAACGATCTCGCTCTCTCGCTCTCTCACTTACACTCTTACCCTCTCTGTTTTGTCTCTCTGACCACGCTTGCGTTTTGTTTATTTATTTATATTATTTTGCTTGTGTTTTTTGAATGGCATTTGGTCAGTTGTTATTTATATTTGCTTTACATTGATTGCCATCCAGCGCTCAGTTAGTCATCGGCTCATGCAGTCATTCGCTCACTCGCTCAACTGCTGTGCATTATCAGAGCTGAAGTCTGAAACGTGGTCTTTGTTTGAGTGCCTCAGCTACCCTTTGTCACTCAGCTGCTATTGGGATAAGCTCGGATTTATGGCCTCGGTAGTGCCGTTGCTGTTACCTTTGATAGCTTATCTCAGATTTAAACTAGAGATTAGCTAACTCACCCTAAGCAAGCACTACTTCAGCCACTTGAACTATGCAGCCGTTTGGCAAATAACTGTAAATCTTTTAATAGCTCGATCTAACTTATTTCAAGATATTAACCAAATAGGCAGCCGCTCACACTTCAGGCCACACGCAGGCTCTACAAATAACTAGCAAGAGTAGCCAATCTATTGTTGAAGTTAGCACAAGTGGGGGTCTTTAAAAATAATAACTGATATCTACTTATACATAACTTTATGAAGATTAGCCAAGCTATAAATATTAGAGCGATAAGGATTATCGGAATGTCCATAGCTTGTATATGAGCAAAAGTTTGCAAGTGTTGGTTTATTGTGTTTAGTTTATATGGAATTCGTGTCAAATACATTTTATGTTATTCAAATATTAACTGACTGCTCAATTTCACGTTAACAGTTGCGCGGGCAATCTGCATAAAGCTATCGAGCAAGTGTAAAACTATCGATAACAGTCGATATCAACAGATGTTAACTCAGCTGTTAAAGGGACATATTTCAGTTCTTTCATCTACCGAACAGCTGTTCTCACAGTTTTCCAGCGACGCCATCACCACGAACACCTGCGTAATGAGTAATTCGCTGACAATTGTTACAAAATAATCAAATCCTTGGCAAGGGCAATACTACAAATGAGAACTGCAATCAAGCTGTACCTTAAACACAAAAACACGCTGAGACAAAATTGAAGCTTAGCTAGAAAAAAAAAAAAAAAAAATAAAATCAGAAGAGAATCTCAAATAAGAAAAAACATGTCGAAGGCCGTGAATAACATGAACATGGGCGTTGTGGAGCCACAGCAGCGCATTAAAAATCTCTCCCACTGCGGCAACCTCATCGATGTGGACAAGAATATGAAAGTGTCGCGGTAAGTTGAAGAGCAGCCAAAGATTCACAGCTGTGGCGCCAAGCGGAAATTCTACTCCAATGTCAACCCACACTTCGCAGAGGCGAAGACCTTGCATGCGCATTTGTCTTTTGAAGGATATTCACACACAAACACACATTCATATATAAATGCCTGCCTGTGTATGTGTTTGTGTGTGTGGGTTTCTGACTGAAATTCCTATAGGCAGCACAACAAAAATATTTTATTTGGGTTGATTTATTTTTGGCCAACGAATCGTCTCCTTTTACTCCGCAGCTATTACCGCGCCGGAACGGAGATCCTGCGCATGGCCAACGTCTATCTGAATGAGGGCGACCATGAGAATGCATTTATATTATACATGCGCTACATGACGTTGTTCATTGAGAAGATACGCCAGCATCCGGACTATGGCAGCGTTAAAGCTGAAGTGAAGGCCATCAATAAGACGATTAAGGACGAGATCATGCCCACAACGGAGAAGCTGCGCAACAAGTTGCTGGCCCAGTACCAACGTGAATACGAACAGTTTCTGGCCAACAAGGAGGCGGAGCGAATGCGCGAACAGGAGCGAGAGCGCCAGCAGCAGATGGCCAACAAGAAGGCAGCGACAGCTTCATCTATTCCTTCCCTCATACCCGCCAATCTGCACGTACAAATGGATCCCAGCAGCCAACCAACGGCCCCAGATCTGAGTCTGCTCGATCAGGTGGTCTATCCAAACGATTTTCCCACGGGCACCAACCGTAACAACCTGCCCAACTCGGGTCTCCTATTGCCGATGGCAGCTGAGGCTGGTGCCGCCGACAAGATTGCCAAGTGAGTCCACTCCAAGAGAATCCTAATCAGCGGACTAACGTGATTTGTAATCTTACAGCTCGTCATCAAAGCCCGCATTCGATCGCAGCCGGAAGCCGCAGTTCAATCGCACCGACTCGCTCTTGGCCGGCTCACTGCGCTGCGTCAATGTGCCCGGCGACACCATGGATGTGTTCCTGAAGCTGGCGCATGCCAATACCTCCAATAACATCGAGACTTGCGGCGTCCTCGCCGGCCACCTGGCCCACAATGAACTCTATATAACGCATATTATTGCGCCCCAGCAGCAGGGCACGCCAGACAGCTGCAACACGATGCACGAGGAGCAGATCTTCGATGTCCAGGATCAAATGCAGCTCATTACGCTTGGCTGGATACATGTAGGTGGCCATGAGTGTAGTCTCTACATACATAGTTGACTAATGAATGTTTCACATCGCTTTCATTGACAGACCCATCCCAGCCAGACGGCCTTTCTGTCCTCCGTTGACTTGCACACGCACTGCTCCTACCAGATGATGATGCCGGAGGCAATCGCCATCGTCTGTGCGCCCAAATACAATACGTGAGTCACTGCATTTGTCTTTGATTTTGTTCTCATCGATTCGAACTGTGCGCAATGTGTGTGTTTATTTTTAGAACTGGTTTCTTCTTACTCACGCCGCATTATGGCCTGGACTACATTGCACAGTGCCGGCAAAGCGGATTTCACCCACATCCCAATGATCCGCCGCTCTTCATGGATGCACAGCACATCAAGATAGATGCCCAGACCAAGATCAAGGTCATCGATCTGCGCAGATAGTATGCTGAAATTCTGGTCTAACTCAGCAGCGACACGGCAACAGACTTCTACCAGCTAAGAGCACATGGGTTCATCCACTGGATGCAAAAGCAGCGAATTTAACAAAGGCTACAAAACACAGCAACAACTCAGCAACAGCTACAACAACAGCATCATTCAGCAAGGCAACTAGAGCGAAGTCGGTGCTCGATGTAACCGGAGAAGCAGATAAACAAACACTATAGTGATTAACGATCTAAGAGATTTCAATGAAACAACAACAAATGGAGGCATCATATTTTGCGACTGTATAGCTGTATTTTTGCATTTGCAAATTTAGATGCGCTAAACAAATGGCATTAGACAGACATTAGCTTTCGGTTAGCATAAATTGCAGTTAATTCATATATTTAGGATCTGCTTTATACATATAAATTCTTTAATGTGATTTACAATTGTGGCTTATACTTTTGTTAAAAATTGTTTTGTTTATTTATGCATGTATTTATTATATCTTTTAAAGAACTCTACACTCTACACACACCGCTATGAAAGCAACAATGCAAAATGTTTAAAATATTGATATTTATATATATTTACCTAATATTGCGAAAAGAAAAAGATACTAATTAAGAAATTAATAACTATGCTATAACATGTTGTTTGAAGAGAAGCCACTAAATGGTAATCGTGTTATCTATGCTTACTAAATTGCTTAAATTAATAAACGTGTACATTATTTTAAAACTGTGTTTAAATATCTGCTCGTAAAAATAAAATGTTAATTTTAACATTGACTGCTGCTGTTAAAGTAACATCAGTCTGCAAAGTATTATTTGTTTACATTTCAAGAAGCCTTCAGATTCAGATTGGACCAATTAGAAATGTTATGTTAACTTAAATGTTATTTGGCAGCGCTGTTAAAATTTCCCAACTAGCATTAAAGCCCTTAGCGTTTGCATTTCCCGCCGCAGTTTTACGTGTTTTCTCGGCTCGTGCAGTCCGTTCGGCTTATAGAGCAGAGCCCGGAATTCTGCAACCGCAAGCAGGCTAAAAATAATTTAATTACAAACCATAGAGTTGCGATACAAAAAACAAGTTTAATATTTGTGGTGTGAACAACAATCGATAAAAGAGCAGTACGCATCCCAAGCGAGCGCATCAAGCGAGCCGCCTAAAGCGAAAGGGGGAGGGGTCCTGTCGCCTGCCGTAGCCGTTGCCGTGTGGCCCTTGCCCTTGATTAAACGTTTTATTCGGGAAAATATATAAACGCCGCGCTTAATACCAAATCAAGTTCTGCTCATAATTTTCTTAGCTCTTTTTTGGTTGCCAAATTGACTTTCGTGCCAATATCCTACCCCACTTCCCCTCCCCTGCTGCCCACCCTTAGCTAGTCGACATATCGTAATATCGTATATATAATGCCAATGAACGAATTGAACACAATTAATTGGATACCAGGACAGGATAGCGTTCAATGTCAAGAAGTGAGTAATCGACAATATGTGCCCTGAGTGTTAATTAAAACCTTTTAATTAACGCAAATATTATGCGCGCGTGTGCGTGTGTGTGCGTGAGTCTAATGACTTTTTCAATAGCCTGCCATGTTGGCGATGTGTGAGAGGTCAAGTAGCACAATATGTGGAGAGTATTCACTTGTCAGATAAACATTGATAAGCGCTCTCCCATCAGCAGCTAAAAGCTTAAGAATCTAATTACTTATGCGCGCTATCTATGTATGTGGCCCTTAGACTATGCTTGACAGCGTCGCTCTTATCATAGTCGCGCCCATCCTTAGCCATTTTGTTGGCCAGGGCTAACAAGAAACACGCCACTCAGGATGTCTTTACGGTACTGAATTCCCTGCCAAGTGTCCACTCAAAGATGTTTTACTGTCTGCCTTTAAATGGAGGCGTGCAGCTCTTGAGCCTTCAGCGACTTTAGCTCGTGCCTGGCTCCGTAAAAGACGTTCGTCAGCTGACAAAATCAGCTGATGGAAGTCGCACGCAGTTAAAGGTCTTAACATTGTCATTTTGATTCCCCCATCCCCATTCCCCACTCCCCGCTCCCCAGGGCCCTAGGGCTGGGAGCTGAAGTTGTAGAGTCGTGTCGTGTTTCCAGCCATAATTGTAAATGATTTCATTTCACGAATTGCATGCAGCTCGCTTTTCAAAAGCCTTGTTAGCTCTGCCATTGCCATTCGACCCAGTCAGCATGCTGAGATATATGGGCTTATTTACGTGCTGCTACTCTCTGAGCGCCGCGTGCTTTTCTTTATATTTATCCATGTTCATTGTGTGTGTGTGAGTGTGTGCATGTGTGCGTGTGTGTGTGTGTGTGTGTGTGTGTGAGTGTGTGAGTGTGTGTATGTGTGCGTGTGTGTGTTTTTTCTTGTCTCTAACTATTTTTAACACAGCCATGCGCGATTCACGTGCGTGCACCCGGCCCGGCCGGCCGGCCAATGCGACGTATACGCAACGCGGGCTTTAGCTTTTTCTGTTGTAGAATGTGGTGCACGTGCTGACAGCAGCTAAACAGCAATATTCGATTGATTACATATACAGTAATACAGTTATATACGCTATTCAACTCTACCAATACAGTCACGTCTTTAGTAACGTTTCGAACCCATTTCATTCAAGGTCAAAGAGCGCATATATTCATTGCTTGAATTCATATATTTTTATTAGTAGTGTTAAATTGTTAATTAATTTATATTTTTTGTATGAAATTGTTTGGGAATTTTCCTATATATAATTTTTGTTTTTTATCGAAGCTCGAGGTGGATTTACTTTTAGTTTTTATAACCCTGAATGTCTGTCCGAATGTTTTTCTTCCAGTCTATATAAATGAGCCGACTTTTAAAGCTTATTATTTTATATTCATATATAATCCAATTATCTTACAAATATATTCAAGGTATTAAATTATCTAACAAAAGTATATAAATTGAAAATATAAAATATATAAATATATATGTCTTTATATATACAAAATTTCGATTTGCTTTTTTGAGCAATACTCAGTAATTTTGGTATGATACTAATAAATTTTGTATGACGTCTCTCTTAGGAATGACACAGGGTAACAAGTGTTTTGTATTTATTAAATACTATTTATTTTTATTATTAATTTTCAATTTAATACTATTCTTACAAAGATCAATTTTCAGTGCATCTCTCTAAATGTAAGATCCCCAACATTAGCTCTATCCAACTGTTTTTTATACAGGGTATTTTGTTTTCAGTTTACTTAATTTCCATTAATTCATTAATGGTTCTAAAATATTTTATGTTTTGTTTTATTTTATTCTTTTACTCATTTTATTTACATCATTAACTGTTTTCATTTAATTCCTTTTTCATTCCATATATAACTTAAAGCCCACTTTTTGAGCAAATTTGTTTGGCCAAGACTCGCAAAACGAAGTTCAAGGCAAAGTGTAGTTAATTCAACCTTGTTTCAAAAATTCTTATGCTAAAACCGCAAAGTTGACCTTTAAATGGGAATCGGCATTATCTGTTGCCATATGTATGTTTGCCTAGCTCTAGTTTCTCGCCCTGGTAACCGATGCCAGAAGCAGCTAGTCATTCAGCTGAGCGCCCAGCGCCCAGCTGCCAAGTTCTCCGCCGGAGTAGAGCTTTTGTTGGTTTGCTTGGAATATGCATAGGAATAATGCACCTAGGAAAGCTCCATCACGTAAGGGGATTGTGCAGCGGCAGCTTGCACGATTTTCTCTTTTCGCTATGTGTCTGCTCCACAGGTGGTTGTTGTTGCTACACACACACACACACATACACACAGACTACAATTGTTGTTGTTATTGTATGTGAAATGTTGCACCCTATAAGTAAACAAATTGTAAAGCTCTGCCAACACAGCCCACACAGAGCGCATATTGTTGTTGTGGCTCATGAAATGAGCTCGAGCACAACTGCAAATACAGTGACAGAAACACGAATACATATTCATAATGCAATTGCAAATTACAAATGACGAACACAAACAAAAGCAAAAGCAAAAACAGCAACAGAAACAATTATAACAATAACAGCAACAAATACAAATGCATAAAAGTAAACCCCAGGCGCTTGTCAGCCGCTGCTGCAGTCGACGTTGCCGTCGCAGTCGCCGTCACAGTCACAGTCGCAGTCGCGTCGTCGCTGGGGTAGTATATTACTGGGAAAAGCTTTTGCTGCCAGTACCTCAGATTTTGATTCAGAACGGAAAAGTGAAGCGTCGCAAACGCACGCAGCTCGGCAAAAGGAACGCGAATCGCGCGATATAGTCGAAATTGAAATTAAAATTTCTCTGCCCATCGAAATATATACACATAGTGAACAAAATATATGTATATATAAATACATATATGAAAAAGATAAATTCAGAGAGAGTGAGCGAGCGAGCGAGCGCGTGAAAATTCATAGTAATCGGCGAACCTGGAAGCCCGTTGGCATTGACATTATCAAGCAGAAACAGCAACAGCAACAGCAACTGTGCACTCGCAACAGCAACAGTTGGCGCTGTAAACAAACGAGCGAATAAATTAGCTGAGACGCGCGATAATATCCCAGCAAATATTAGAGAAACAAATGGAATAGATTGCGAGAGTCTAATTGAAATAATTATAGCCCAATTTCACGAATAATAACAGAGGTTCAAGTGTCTATCACTAAAAGTGTTTAACAGGACTTTATTTCCATTCAAATCAGTTAGGCTCAGTTCAGTTCTATAGAAAAGTTGATCAGCAATGGAAGAGGTAAACTGTCTATAAATAATAATATAATAAGAAATTCTTGAGTTAATAAGATCTTCTTTTATTAAGTTTTTCATCATCTCAGAACTAATATTATAGCCCCCCACAGATATATAAAATTATTGCCTAACTCATTTTTTGCACAGTTATATAATTGTCTATCACACAATGCAGGTCTTTAATGAACATTTATCAACTTCCAGTCACATAAAACCTAACCAGCTATAGTTATGTGATCCCTGGACTGACCAGCGCTTTATCATTATTATTTATATATTTATCTTAGGGAATAGATAATAAACAAATAAAACTAAAAGTCAAAATTAAATTTAATCAAGCAACTTCCTGTATATAAGAAAATTAATATTGCATAGATATGCAATCTTATATACAATATTATTATAAGATTATATTCTTATAAAATACAGCTTATCAATGAATATTTATACAATTTTGTATACATCTATACAATAATAGATTTGTTATGTTCCATCAAAAGTTTTTAGAGACAACCACGAGGGCCACTTGTCAATGTTTTGAATTCACATAGGCTCTTAATACACATATCTTTGTATATATAGAAAAGAGACAAAAGCGACATAATTATAAATGGCAAGTCACATTCATATGATCTATACGAAAAAAGCTCGCCGTAGCATCATCTGTTTTGATGACGGCCGTCTCTCGGTCTCCACTTTAATGTCAAGCAACAACGGCAAAATCACCTTCAGGCAGGGGCTGAATTAGCTCTCGACGCTATCTCAATTTTCACTGGAAACTGTGCTGGCTCTTGTTTATTTATTTTATACATTTAAAGCTGTTTCTAACTTTGTTCAATGTTGATTTTTTTTTTTTTAATGCCGTCTGTTTATTTATGTTAGTAAATTGGAGTCATTCGCTGCTTATTACATTACATTAATTCTCTTTGGCCTAGCTCTTCTCTTCTCCATAAGCTTTCTCTCTCTTTCTCTGTCTCTCTTAGTTAATTTTCACTGTAGTTGAATAGTTGCCTATTTGTTGTTATTTTTGCCACAGCCAATTATATGGCCAGCCCGACATTGCGTATACGTAATCACCCAGTAGCACATTAAAGTTTCGTTTTGTACTTGTGATAATGAGGCCTACTGCAATTAACTGTAGCTGAATTCAATGCAAAGTTCAAGATCTATAGTTACACTTATCGGAAATGATATTGGATATAGCCTTAGTACTTTTTCGTTAAATAAGTTTCAGACTTTTAATTTGATTTGATTCGATTTGCTCAGCTCAGACAAACTATTTATACACACATATATATATATATATATATATATTATTTTTTTTGTGATTTACTTTCATCGCACTTCCTGCTCATCCCCGAGTACGGCTCACCAGTCATGCGACTCTGACAAAATGGCGATAATGAACAGCCCGACTGACCTTGACAGGAATTGCTTAAAGTTATGCAGTATTTGTTTGTTCTCAGGGGCGCACCATTTGCAGAGAGACACGAAAACAAACATAAATATATATATATATATATATATATATATACAAATATGTATATTTATATTTAGCTATAAGCAGCGCAGACAGTAACACGTGACGAGCAGCGGCAGGCGCGCCGTTTCGGCTCTCCGCGAACTTTGACTCTGTGGAGCAACAGCCAGGTAGACAAACGACCTCATTATAACTTTCAGCCAGGCAAAAGCAACAACAAACAGCAGTCATACAGTTAAAGTGCAGCGACACACGAGGCGTATGTGCAATATTTTGTGCCTCTGAATGCAAAGCCCAAAACTTAGTTATAATATATATATATATACATATCTCTATATATACTATATGTGTATTCTATTTTTCTGTGCATGTGTGCGTGTGATGTTTGTGTTTGTTTGACGGATTTCAAGTTCAACGTGCAACTGCGTGAAGCTTTGCGCTAAGCCGAACAGCTGGCAACAAGGATTCCTTTCATTACTGCATAATCTGGGCAAGAGCTGTTGATTTGTGGTTGATGATGATTCCATTGTAGCAAGTGAATTATCTGGTGCCTTATGCAGATGGGAAAAATATAATAATTGCAATTTATGACAGCTTATAAAGTGCGCTCTTTGAGATGGAAAGGAAACAGAATTGTTCCAAGTGAAAAGTAGACTTGGCTGCCACAGTTTCTTGAGGCTTATTACTATGCTCTTAAGCATTAGTTAGATAAGTAAGGTAGTTAGTTTTACTGCCCTAACTGCATATTTCATGTCCTTAACTCTTCCGTTCTATTTAAAAAGAATAAATACAGAAAAATAATAACTATAACCTATCGTTGATTTATATATATTTCATAAATTCGCTCGCTTAACTTTCACGTATTTAATATAAAATAATCAATGTGCTCTCTGGCAGCGTATGCGCTGCAGGTGATAAACTAATTGATTATTATATCATATTCCAATCAATTCAGATTCCACATTTCATTTTCATCCACGGAAAAACAAAAAAGTAAACAGAACAAACAACAACAACTGCGACACTGCATAAATAATAAACAAGCTGATAAGCCTTGAAATCAATACAGGACTCAATCGAATGGATTTTCTGTTGACTTCAAAGCAATCAATTGTTTTTGTTATTGTGATTCGCTGTCATATCACCTGTGCGTGTGTTTGTGCGTGCGTGTGTGTGTGTGTGTGTGCATGGAAATCTACATACAACTGGCGTTCTCTGCAGCCAATGTAAAGAGCAAATGGCAATTTCAACGGATGATAATCGCATTACGTCAACGCATTCATTGATAAATGTGAATGACTTTAAGGCGATTCAGTTCGCTGTTGACGGAATTGCTTACAGCAGCAGTGACCCCCGATTAGCCCTGGCTGGCAATAAAAGAAATTCCCAGCCAATAATTAAGAGTAGTTGCCCTTGCACATTTGGCACTCTTCACGCATTTCGAAGTGTTTGCAAGCAAACCATAAATATTGTCTAATTTATGATGTCAACAAAAAGGCGGAAGTGTCAAAGAGCAGCCGAACGCAGAAGAGAGAGAGAGCGAAATTTAAGAGCGGCACGGACAGAGCGATCAGACGCTGTTAGGCAAAAGATAAAACGAAACGCAAGAAGAGAGAATTTGCGCGCTCTCGCGAGTCGCGACGAGTTTTGCTTTGCAATAGAATGAAGTGCGGCCGTTGCGGGCATTCAGTTGGGCAACGGGTTTGGTTCGGTTCAGTTTGGACTCGGCGCAAGTCGATGCACTAATTAATGCCAGCTAGACTTGGTCATTGAAAAAACACACTGCTGCCAGGCGAAATAGTAACAAATATCAATAAAATGCCAATTGCCGCCACTGTAAGTTGAGTTCGCCAGAGCGACAGCGGAGAGAGAGCGCACACCGTTTGTATATTTATGACACGTGTTGCTTTTGTTTGCCATTCCAAGAGAGGAATAACGCGAGAGCGAGAGCGCGAGCGAGAGAGCGCGCGTGCGAGATGTGCGCGTATATTTGTGACAATCTGTGCTATACGATGCTATACGATCTGTTATCTGGTTTTTTGTTCTCTTGCAGACACCCTCGCTGCTGAAGCGCGTCAGCACTGATAAACTGAGAGAAGTCTTTCTGAAGTACGCCTCGCTGCAGAAGGATGGCGAGCATTATATGACCAGCGAGGATTTCGTGCGCAAATTTCTGGGCCTGTTCACAGACTCGGCGTTCAATGATGTAAGTAGCAACAGCAGAGACAGCAGCAAGACACAACAGCAGCAAAACAAAACCCGTGTCACAGACAACGGCGCATCATTGGGTCATTGCAAGGTCATACATACAGTCTTGCCTGTCTTGTGATAAGCAATCAACGACAGCTGCAACAAAAACATGCGTCCGGCCTAACCCTATACTCGGAGCACCTCTTATCAACACGCTCGTTGAGTAGAGATAACGTTCATCTGTGTAAGATCTGTGCGAATCAGCCAATTTTAAAATATTTATCTCATAGAGCTAACTGATTCATAATGAACCGGTTTCACACTCGGTATCATTTGTCAGCCTCGTGCGAAACTCTGTCGACGTCACGGCATTTAAATCGGTTGTTGTTTGTTATCAGTTAGTTGGCTGCTCGCAGCTGGAGTTGATTCCCAGGTGCGTCCGGGTCGAAGTCTTTGGATTGTACTTTTTCCTGTGATAAACTCTTTGCTTTAACTAATCACCACTTATTAGTCCAACGACTAAACATTGAACCCTTTGGCTTTTCAGGAATCGGTGCGCCTGCTCGCCGGCATTGCGGACACGAGCAAAGATGGCCTCATATCGTTCCCGGAATTTCAGGCATTCGAGGGCTTGCTCTGCGCCCCCGATGCACTCTACAGAACTGCCTTTCAGCTGTTTGATCGCCAAGGCAATGGCACTGTTTCATACGGTAATTATAACGTATTTGTTTATTGATTTTGATCTATTGACTTATGCTGCTTCTATTTGTTTATTTACTTATTCATCCAGCTGATTTCGCTGATGTTGTACAAAAAACTGAACTGCACTCAAAGATACCTTTTAGCTTAGATGGCACATTTATCAAACGCTACTTTGGTGATGTACGTGAACGGAAACATGTTTATTTTTAAAGCACACACTTAAACGATTTCCCATACACCCCTATAAATATATGTATATATATATATATATATGTAGAAGAAGCAGCGTCTTATCAACTATGCTGAATTTACGCAACTGCTGCACGACTTTCACGAGGAGCACGCAATGGAGGCATTCCGCAGCAAAGATCCAGCTGGCACTGGATTCATATCCCCCCTAGACTTTCAGGACATAATTGTTAAGGTCAAGCGGCATTTACTCACGCCCGATGTCAAGGATAACTTGCTGGCGGTATGTCTATATAAATCTTGAGCGCATCTATGTCAAGGCATATCTATAGTCAAACCATTTCATAGGTCACCGAGGGTCACAGAGTTAGCTTTCCGTATTTCATGGCATTTACATCGCTGCTCAACAACATGGAGCTGATCAAGCAGATTTACCTACATGCCACCAAGGGAAGTCGCACCGAGATGGTCACCAAGGATGAGCTGCTCTATGCGGCGCAAACCATGAGCCAGATTACCCCGCTGGAAATTGATATATTGTTTCAGATAACGGGCGCTGTTAATCAGCCTGGGTAAGCCATCTAGGTCACTAATATTTCCACCACCTCCTCCAACAACAATAATGACAACAACAACAACAACGAAAACCATTTCATTTGTAGGCAATTCATTTGGTCAGTAATGTTCGAAATTCAAAATAAATAATCAAATCCCTCCCCTGTGTTTGTCTCTCCTGTTGCAATAACCGTTGACATTTTGTATCTTTTCTCTCTCTCTCTCTCTCTCTCTCTCCCCTCTTGCTCTCTCTTTTTCGAACTCATACAATTTTGTTCACATTAATGTATTTCTCACAATATTAGAAGATGGTGGAAACGCAAAAAGATTTCTCCAAGTAGGCAAGTGTTGTTGTTCTTAAAGAGAACATCAGAAAAATGTTAATAAGACATGGAATTTTCCTCCCTCGCAAAAATTTATAAACAAAAAAGATACGAAAATCAAAAATCCCTTTGGCCATGCATCACCCCTTCGGTGTAAATTCGTTTTAGTTCCTTATGTGTGGGTATCCTTGCATCCTGATCCTTTGACTAACCACTTGCTCAAATCGTTTGTCCCCACAGCCGCATCGACTACAGCGACCTGAGCAACATCGGGCCCGAGCACTATACGAAGCATATTACTCACCGTCTGGCCGAGATTAAGGCCGTCGACAGCCCCAGTGATCGATCGGCATTGATTCAAGTGCTGGAGGCCACCTATCGCTTCACTCTGGCCTCCTTTGCAGGCGGTAAGCCAATGAAGAGTATTTGGGGTTTAGCAAGTCTTTTATCTATGCACTGTCTCCTCTAGCTACTGGCGCCACGGTGGTCTACCCCATTGATCTTGTGAAGACGCGCATGCAGAATCAGCGCACGGGGTCAATGATCGGCGAGGTCGCCTATAGAAATTCATGGGATTGTTTCAAGAAGGTACGCGAAATATATATGAAATATTATTGTTTAGCTATAACCAGTGCTTATTATCCAACAGGTCATCCGTCACGAGGGCATCCTCGGCCTCTATCGCGGTCTGCTGCCCCAGCTGATGGGCGTCGCTCCGGAGAAGGCCATCAAGCTGACTGTCAATGATTTCGTGCGCGACAATCTGTCGGACAAGCGCGGCAATATTCCCGTCTGGGGCGAGGTTGTGGCCGGCGCCTGTGGTGGTGCCGCCCAGGTCATCTTCACAAATCCGCTGGAGATAGTCAAAATCCGACTGCAGGTGGCCGGCGAGATTGCTGGCGGCTCCAAGATAAGTGCGCTGTCCGTGGTTCGCGAACTGGGCTTCCTTGGCCTCTACAAAGGGGCCAAAGCGTGCCTGCTACGTGATGTGAACTTCTCGGCCATCTATTTCCCAACCTATGCACACGTCAAGGCCGCATTGGCCGATAAGGATGGCTACAACAATCCCGTATCGCTGCTGGCCGCTGGCGCCATTGCGGGAGTGCCCGCTGCTTCGCTGGTGACGCCCGCGGATGTGATCAAGACGCGCCTGCAGGTGGCCGCCCGCACGGGCCAGACGACGTACACGGGCGTTTGGGATGCCACCAAAAAGATTATGGCCGAAGAGGGACCAAGAGCATTCTGGAAGGGCACAGCAGGTGAGTAGACACAGAGTATGAAGCTAAACCATTCTCTAATTACTCTCTCTGTTGGCTGATTAGCTCGTGTCTTCCGCTCATCGCCCCAATTTGGCGTCACCTTGGTCACATACGAGCTGCTGCAGCGCCTGTTCTACGTGGACTTTGGCGGCAATCAGCCGAAGGGCTCGCAGGGCACCAAACCAGGTCTGCCCCTGGACGCCACGCTGGGCGCGGAGCAGCCCAAGCCCGATCACATTGGTGGCTACCATGCGGCTGTGCCGCTCCTGACAGGCATTGAGTCCAAGTTTGGCCTGTACCTGCCGCGATTCGGACGTGGCGCTGCTGCCGCTGCCCCGGCGGGAACGGCGACGGGCTCATGATTATATTGGCGGCATCGCCTGCCGTGCGCCAGTTAGGTCTAAAGTTGTACAGTTGTAGCCATATATGTACATACATATAATATATATATAGGCCGAAGGTTGAAGGCGACTCTGGATCAAATGTCTATATTTTGCTAAGACGCGTTTACACACACATCCACAATCAGTCGAGGACAACATATATAGGATACAGCTCAATGTCTATTCTAGAGGAAACTTTTCGTACCATCAACATGTTGTACCAAACGTAACAAAACTTTTGAAACATATATAAATCATACGGAATAGAAAACTTTTACATATATATATATATAAATTTATATAGATATGCAAGTATATGATAATATATAACTAACATCTATGGCACACAATTGAAGGCAACTGTTTTACCTACACATCAAGCGAGCATACACACATACATATATTGAAGAAGAAAGTGTAACTTTAACTAGATGCATAGTCTAAACTCTAAATCTAAATCTAAATCTAAACAAAAGAATAGAAAAGAAATCACTGAACGTCTCTTATTGCACTCAAACATTTAAGCGTAAAACCTTTAAATTTAGTACGAATTTGTTCAACTGTTATAAAGTAAAATGCAATGAATTACCTCTTAGCTAATAAATGTCAAATGAAAATAAACATAAATAAATGTACAAATATTGAAAAACAAACAATAATAAAAAAGAAATAAATAATTCATATTTAAATATATGTAAATAATAAACATATAAAGTTTATAGACGAAGTCCAGACTTTGCTAAGCCCAGCTTCGTATGGGATTTTATGGATGTTGCAAATAATTTCAATATCCAGAACCATTAAAAAATGACAACAGACAGAAGAAGGCATGCCAGAAAGAGAGAGAGAATGAAAGGCGTATCAGAACCCAAGAAATAATAATTAAAATAGAGATATAACATCTACTTTCGTATATTCTATGTATTCAACCTCAACCAAGTAACCGTATTGTAACCATATAAAAAAGAACACTCACTGTTTATTAGGTATCCCTTGTCTACTAGGGATCAGTCTTAGTATTATCAGAAATTTGATCAACTAGGAATAGGAATTGGGAATTTTTTTGATTACTCAACCTCTACCCCCTCAAACCTAAGATTAAATAATGTTCTATTATTCCTATTGTAGCTCTAACTAATTAATACCAACATGGATGCACTCTAAATGTCGTACAGGTATTAAATAATCTCATTCTGACTAAATCCGTTGCCCTAGTCTAAAGTAGTGCAACTAACTAGAAAGTGTGCAACTGAATATAGTTCGAGCTGCTGTCACAACTTTTCCCAGTTTATCGAATTGGAAAGTACGACGCCCTCGGCGCTGCAGATGGAGATGGAGCTCACTGAAACGCTTTAGCCATGGCTAACTGCATCAGCTAACAGTCGAGTGGCACATGCGATTAGAATACGGTGGCATTTGACAAATGCGTTGACAAGGCAATTTGCTGCCCAGCAGGGCGGGGGGGTTTCAGGTCGCTCAATCGACAACAAATTCAATTTCGAATTCAACAGTTTTATATGGCCATGTGGCTTACTAGATCTGGGCACCCGCCCACTCGACTCGACTGGCAGCCGCTGACCATGACCGTCAGCATTGACCACGATCTCCCATCTCCGTTAGCAATTTTATTCTGCACGCAGTACGTAGTGCAGCCTTTTGGCCGTCTAATCACGGGTTGCAGCAGCAAAATGCGTTTCCATTGAGTGGCCCCAGCTCTTGGTCATATATAAAAAGCTGCAGTCGATCGCTCAAGCCACCGCAGTTTCAATCCGAATCTTGATGCGAACTCTTGGTTAGCCGCACACAGAATGCAAGGGAAATTCACGAAAAGTGTCTGCCTGTTGGCCGTGTGTTTGTTGCTGCTGCAGCTGACGGCAGGCCAGGAAGAGGCAACAGTGAAGCCAACGCAGGCCACGGATACGCGCGTCTCTTGGATTGCCCAATTGCAGCAGTTGCGTCAACAGATGCGCAGCTGCTTCCGTTCGGGCTCCGCCTCCGCCTCCGGCACCGGCTCCGGCTCCGGCTCGAGCTTGTGGTCATGTTTTCGTGCGCGCAGTCTGAAAATATTCGAGGACATCATGGCAGCGGATGTGATTCCGCTCTACGAGGGCGTTCGGCTGATTGCCGCACCAAATGCCACAAATGGCCAAGCGCGACCAGCGGCCGATGAGCCCAAGGATCTGAAGCACTTGACCTGGTTTGATCAACTCGCTGTTATCCTGGCCAAGGGCCTCACCACACACACGCTGCAGATCAATCTGGCCAAGCTCACGGAGCGTTATCTGAGCAACGGTGGGTAGCTGAGCAGAGCCTAATCACTTAAACATTCAGCTGAATCCTATCCACAGATGGGCCGGAGCGCAAGGCGGATACCGTGGGCAGCGCACGGCTGCGTCGGCATCGCTTCAACATGATCATCACCATGATGTTTGGCGTCACGGCTCTAGGGGCTGTGCTGGTGCCAATGGGCTTCCAACTGCTTGCCATTGTCAGTGGCAAGGCGTTGCTATTGGCCAAAATGGCATTGCTGCTGGCCTCCATCAATGGCCTGAAGCGGGTGAGCTCTGCCCAAATAAACTTTCTATTTGTGTTATGCGAGCATTTTCTTGGACAGGTCGCCAATACTGGACTCCACTATGGCTTGTACCATGTGCCCGGCGAGCATCTGGGCGGCTACTACGATCGCGGCGACTTGAGCCATCCGCGGAACGTGCCCATACCCGTGGGGATGGCGCCTTCACTTGAGTTTGGCTTGAAGTAAAAGCGGGGAAAGAGCAGAGAGAGTGAAGAGAGAGTTGGAGTAAGAAAGTGGCAGAATTTTCCAGTCAATAAATGTAGTTTATAGATAGTTAAAAAAAAAAAAAAAATACCGTTTTCTTTTCAAGCAAAGTTCGTTGGAGAGCTTTTCAGCTTGGCAACTTTTTGTAGCAAGTTGGCAGCTCTGGTGGCAAGCTTTGCACAAAGCTTTTGGCGTGTTGAGTTTCCCATGTTGCGCGAAACTTTTCAAAAGAAACACACACGCACCCATTGAGCACTGCCTTGGAGAAGAATAAAAATACTTGTGCCAAAATCAGTTGCTGCAAATAGTTCGTAAGCAAATAGAAAATATTTGCATATGGGCGAAGTTTTTCTTTCGCATTGGATTCAAAAGTTGTGCACTTAAAGCAGATTTCAAATTCACGAGCGAGCGATGACGCTGCCGACGCAGCGGGGCTGAGGCGCCTGGGCGGTGTGGGTGGTCGTGTGGTGGCAACACGAGGGCTATAAAAGGAAATGCGCCGCTGATAAGGACCAACATTCTGTCGTCGGTTGCGGCAGCTTTGACATCTCGTGTCGCCAGCCAACGGAAGTCGTGCATTGCAATATCCTGAACAGTTTTTATCCTTTGTATCCCTGCGAGGTGTTCTGTCGTGTAACGGTTTCTGTGCCATTCAAAACGCTTTCACTTTTAATCTAGATCCAAGTGCGAACTACGTGACTCCGCCCCGTCGTCAATTTCCTTCGCTCTAATAAACTTATTGGTAGCGTGTGACCGCTCGCCGCAAATCCACTTAATCAGCTTAGCTCGCTCCTCGCTTCAGCTCCAGGCTCCATCCAGGACGCACTGCTCTCTTTTTTGGCTGTCGGTTAATTGAAAGTCTGGTCTAGGCAACGCCGCAGCGGCAATTGACAATTTCACGGTCCGATTTAGTGCAGCGGCAGACGCAAACTCCGACGGAATGAAGCTCGTGGTCTACTGCTACTTATCCATGATTGTGCTGGGCGTCCAGGTAAGTGCTGACTGGAGCTAGCCTCGAGGCTCTGTGTAATTAGATTTCGATCAACAAGTTGCTTGGCCCCAACTTTTGCCTCAAAATTCAACTCGTGTCTTGTCAATCATTTGAATTAATTTCCCTCTGTCAGCGACTTACGGCCGAGAGATTGATGGCTCCAAGCCAATTCGAGTTTTATGAGCAAAGTTTCAGAAACCTGTCGACTTTTGTTCAGCTTTTTCTGCTGCTCATGTGCTGCGGCAGATTGCTTTCATTAGGCTCAAATTATGTGAATAAGTTTTGGGCGTGCGTCAGATTAAAGGGCTCGGACTCAAATATCATTTGCTGCGAAATCAATTTCATGTTTTATTGCACGCGTTGTCATTTTTATTAGATTTTTTATTCAATTCTCAAGCGACAGCTGTAATTTGTTAAAAAAAAGTTTGCTTGGCCTAAAAAGAGGTTCTCTAGTTAGTATAATTTATATAATTTCATAAGAAAATATTTTGGGCCGGCTAATCATTTAATTTTTGGGATTTTATTCAGAGCTCATTTGAATGCGTTTTTATGTTGGAAGATGTCTTTTAAAATATATTTATTTGCTTATATTTATTTTATCTGATATTTTGATTTGAAGATATTCCCAGTCAGCCAAAAATATATTTTTAAACTGAAAAATTATACAAATATCGATTTCCACTGGCTTAAATTGAACTACAATAGCTTCTCCCCAAATTAACAACATTAAATAAAATATTAATGAGAAACAACTTTAAAAAATTTTAAACAACTTTAATAATAAACTAATGATAAAAAAAATAAAATATAATGAAAATAAATACATAATGAAATCGAGCTGTGTTTATAAGTAATACATGCTCCGAGATATATATATATATTTTTTTTGCTGGGAATTTCTTTAGTTAATCTATATTATAATGCATTGATGCATTGGTTATTCAATATTTAAATTTAGCAACTTTGAAACGACCCATAACATATAATCATTAGCGGATCAAATACTTTAAAATTCTGTAATAGTTAATTTCTCTTAGTCAACTATCAAACGGTTAAGCGATATCATTACATGGAAAAGAAAGAACTGGATACAGAATAATTTATTTTAAATATTATGAATACAGAATAATTTATTTTAAGTATTATGAATACAGAATAATTTATTTTCAATATTCAATATTATTCTTTAAAATCGAATAATTTTTATGAAATTTTGAAAGGTTCGCTGTAGCAGATTTTTAAAATGTAATAAAAATAATCAAATGGTGCCTCAGAATAAGGGAATATTTTAAATAAATGATTAATAGTTGCAGTAGTATTGCCATATTGCACATAATTGAAATGCATTTATAATGGAAGAAGAAAAGAAAAGTATGTACAAGCATTTCCATCAGATACCAACTAATAATTGGCTAAAAATAGGCTTTGCACTTGTGCACGCGTTTCCCCTGTTCAACTCTGACCTACAACAGCTGCAAGTTTAACTTCATTAAGTAATAACAACAAGCTGATTATACAAACAACTCATCTGTCAATATATATATTTATATATAGGCGAGTTTATTCCTGGGCGCAGTACGTACGATTGTAATCTAATTACAATTTACGCGAGAGCTTCGTACGCGTGGGTCGAGAGGCATCGAACATGGCAAAACGTCAGACTACAACATGAATCAATTCGAATTGCAGATTGAATGCGATGTGCA